TTAACTACAAAGGAAACAATAGTGTGTAGTATTGAAGTAGAACAGAAACGAGCTGATGGCAGCCTTCAGGTTCCTAGCACTGTAGCCGGCAATAAGGCCGCACTCACCATCCGAATGAGGTCCCTGACGAGATCCTTGTCCCTCGTTCGGACGCTTTCGAGTCGAATAACGTACCGGGGCTTGCAACCAACTTAACCCATGACTAACGAATTAGTCTGGGACCCCAGGCGAACAACGAGGGGGGACCTCAAGTGAGGGGTCGATCAACTTTCAGGCTCACTGAGCGACTAGAGGAGACCTCTTTTCGGAACCTGTTGGGCACCAAGAAGACTTATGATGAATTCGTGTGTACTGATTGTGGGAACATAACAGTACAGACAGTACATTTTCGGCTCTAAGCACAACTTTGAGTCCTAATTTAGGAGCACTAAAGAACAAAAATCACTGGCGATAAATTGTGGGATATGCTGGAATTTTGACTATATGCGTTCTCGAACTCCAACTTCCAAATTTGCTAGCCCACAGGATCACATAAAAATAACTCTACCTTTCTACCCATCATAAGCTTTTTGGAATTATTTCCTGTTTTCGACTCTTGAAACTTGTTTACGGTTCGTTTCCGGCAAATATTTTTTCTGCTCTGTTGGCCCAACGTTTGAGCTGCGGCTGATCTGCTGATATTTTACTGACGTGGTGACTGAACTCTACCATTTGATACTCCTACTAATAGGATCTGAAAAGGAAATTTAAGGGGACGAAGGCTTTCCCCTCGAGTGCGAAGATAAAGTCTTACCTTTTAAACTAATATTGTGCCTTAGCGGAAATTCATCAAGAATATTGAGCGCAATGTAGTTATAGTGGATATTTGATATTTTGACGTCCCCGTCTGCCTAACTTGCTCTTTCTCGGGAAGGTGATGGAGAGGTTATAACGTGCCTGGCACGGAATTCGCTCAACTAGGGGGATCTAGATTTGTCCTTTGTTTCTACAACCTTCTTGTGTTATTCCTGAAATATTACTGATTTTTACTACATCAGCTTCAACCCTGTCAAGGTGCTCTCATGTTCTATTGGGCAATGGAGTGGGTCTTCCAAAACAGTGTTTCATTGTTTTATTATTCCTCTCGTACGTGACTAATGAACTAGGCCTAGGATGATGGAATGAACACTGTCCCTCGATCAACTCCAGAATCACTTTCCCCTCCTTAAAGGCACATTCTAGGCTGAAGTCCTGTGAACGATTCCCTCCACTCTGTAGGGTAGACTCTAGAAGACAATCACAGTTTGTGGCATTGCCACTGAAATCAACAGGCAGGAGCGCTAGTACTAGTACCTTTCTAAAATAAGCTGCAGCAGATGCAACTCTCGAAGTCTGCAGCGAACTGTCGTCTGGCGGCTCTCTCATTCGCAGCGCTCTCTTGCCTCTTACTCTCCTCACAGCGTTTAGTCTCCCACGTGTCGAACGCACGAACGTGAACAGGATTCACTTCAAACTTCCCATGAACGTGGATCCGTACCTACCATGCATTTCGTCGCAAAACCACTTCCGGTCCCGCCCACTGGTCCATGGTCCGTGGAAGATTCCTTTAAGCTTTTCGAAAGATTCTTCTCCTTTTTTTTCACTGCTGTCCCCTTTCGCACAAATACATTCGCATCCGTGGCAAGAACCACACCAATTTGATCCTGTGGCATGCCTTTAAGGCTTGGTCCCAAGTACTATAAATTATTCAACCAAATGTCCGCCGTAACGACATGAGCGCCCTTTTCAGTTTTTATCGCAACGTGTATGCCTTTTGGTTATCATTGAAGACTGGGATATAAGAAGAGAAAGAAAAACTGGTTCCTGACGGATGTGCCTTCATATTGAATGTTTAATGAAAGAAGAGCGTCTGTGAAAAATAACTGTATTTTTTTCTAGATCAAAGAGTATGAAAAAATGGAGACACCCGAAGAACGATTGACGAAAGCCAGAGAGATCTACGATCATCATATTATGGTGGAAATGCTCGCCCATGCTCACGTAAGTGTTCGTTCTGAATGGTGTCTGGGTTCGTAAAGGGTCCGTGAAAACGTGCACCCATTTCAGAACTATTCGAAGGACTCCCTACAACATGTACAGTATCATCTGCTCAAAGGCTGTGTTCCGCCGGATTTATTTCAGGTAAGAGAGAATATTTTGGCGCTTGTGAAAGGAACTCTCCATTTCGGCTTGGGTGAGAGGGATTTCCTGAGAGGCTTAACCGTGTCGATGTTCTAATACATTCGCTGAATGCACGAAATGTAACATTTTAGTCTTCTAATCAGCGGAAGTGAGCGTTGTTCATGGAACATGAGAGTATTCAGAGTTTTTCTTACGGGAAATTCTCAAACTAGTGCCTAATTAGGTATCACATTGTGTGACTACACCTCAGAGGTTCTCAGAAAGTGCATGACTTTTTTGATCGTGAACAAGGAGCTGCCACTTTCTAAAGGGAGCTTTTTTTGCTAGAGGAAGTACTCGGAATTTTCCGGTTACCCATGAAGCGGCCGTGAGCAAAGTATGCCTTTTCCGATAAGTTCATTTGTACTCGGTTCTGAGATTATCTTCGTTCATTTAAAGGAGGAATTCACGATTAGAATGAAGGTCGAAGAAAGGGAAACTGACCTAGTTGAGGGACCCACGGACCTCCTGAGGGTGCGAACTGACCCGCCAGCTTTGAGGCATGATAGGTCGCCGAGGTCAAATTTTTCCATGCGAATTGCGCGTCAGTTCGCACCCTCAGGAGGTCCGTGGGTCCCTCAACTAGGTCAGTTTCCCTTTCTTCGACCTTCATTCTAATCGTGAATTCCTCCTTTAATTTTGTTGATACCCGTGCGGCAGAGTGTGAGTGAATGGCAGTGCGTCATCTTCCGTGGGCCTATACGTAATCCAAACTTGTCCCGCGTTTAGGTCACCATATGCCTTCGCATCCTTCTTAGGTTGATAATCCAGTATCAAGCTCCTCTGCTAGGACGAGACTGGCTTGCACAGGCCGGTTTCCACCAGTCATTGCGTATGTAGTAGGTGAAAGCGCATTTTAGTGCCACTATGTATGATTCTGAACCGAAAAAGCGTGGCCCCACAAAATGGGTTGATCGACGCCCCATTGTTATAGACTTTTTCATTGCTTCAAGTGAAATCTTCTCGGTGTATACCTTATGGAGGTAATATGCAACGAGCAAAAGCAGGAATTATCCTCACAGAAGCCAGGAAACCAGAATGAAATCAGGGAACTGTAGGCGAAGTTTGCACCGAAAAGTGGATGAGATGATTGGAAGAGATTAAGCTCTTCTGGGATGCGCCACGCACTCGATTTTCTTCTGAGAGAGCAATCGGTGGAAGCTTCATTTTTGAGTGGGTGGAGGCGAGGCAGTCCTATTGTCTTCATCCATATAACCAGAGGAAACTCCTATTGTTTTACCATATGGATAAGTAATAGGTAAACGTCCACATTTCAACAATGCGGTTTTTGATAATGAAGCGTATACCCCTGCATTCAACGTCCTCCTCGTACATCCTAGGCTATTACTGGTATGTGGCGTCCGCCTGCGCTCCTCTTTGTAATATCCTTGTCGCCGTCGGAAAGGATGTCCTGGCCTACCTCGGACGCGATCGTTTGGTACCACATGCAGCCGAAATGTGAAAACCTCAAGGAGATTTGCCACACCATAAACCAGCCTCAATAGAAGTATTGTAAAGGACCGATTAACGTGTCATAGAAACTCTACCCTTAGTCTTAGTATGTGGAAGCATACGGTACCTCCAATGAATTGTTCCACCTCAGCAATTCAATAATTCACCAGTGCAATACTTACTCGTGAACTTTCTGACGTTTTATTTGATTTCTTCTTTCTCTTTGGGCTCCACGCTTTGAATTTGCCACCAGAATGCTGCGGCGTCCTATTGTTGAGGTAGTCGTTCCAATGTTAACTGTTTTCTCTTTACGGCCAACTAATCGCCTAAGCAATCTGAGCCGCCACAGTGATTTGGAGCTCTCTGTTGCTCCAATAAGGGGCTGAGGTCTCTTATGTGATTCCGTTTTCGGTCCGGCGGTCACCTTTCCCTCGGGCCTAAGCCTTTGTGTAGGAATCCCAGCGTAATAATTACATTTCTATGCAGCACGATTATCGTTCAGCCAGCTAATTGAATGAAAGTTGTGATGAGTTCAGATCGTTTCGCTGAAATTGAAGAATGCCATGGTTCCCCAAATCCCATCGCAAGCTATAATTGCAAGTTTCAGGGTTTACATTCTAGGGATAAGGTTTGGAAATCTACACTGCTCGATAACAGGAAATCTGATAGCTTTCTGTAGCTCAAAAAATGAAAGAGACGGCTCTGTTTCGCTTTGAATAATTTGTAGCGGATTTTCTTCACGCACCCGTTTTACACTGTTGAAATCAAATTGTCGGCCTTGCTGAGGAAAGCCGTCGAGATTTGAAAAAATCTAATTCTTGATTCGCAATTTCGCGTAATTTACAAAGTGCCAGCGGGTCATTAGTAAACGAAATCACACTAATTGCTTCCGCAGAACATTTGTTCACTTCAAAGAGCGTTTAGCAGATGCTGTCGTGCAACTTCGTGTCCCTTTTTCTTCAAAGTCCGGGTCCAGAAAGGATCACTGCTTCCAGCGGAAGCGGTCCAGTGGCACGTGGCACTACATAGTACGCGCGCAGAGTGGGGATCAAATCCTTTATCGCAAACCGTCCACTCCATGCAAGTTTTTCATGACCTGTACAACGGCAGCTGCCCGTAAATTGTTTCAGAGGCAAAACTGCATTCAAATGTTACTTCGATTCTGCGTAGAATAGAATGCGTGGCGCATCCTAAGGGATTGATCAATCATCAATTGATCGAAGACTCTAATCTGACCCTTCTTTCTGTGGTAGGAAATAGAAAATCGACGCATTATCGCCCACCGCTATATTGAATTTATATATAGGTTCTGAAACGCAAAAATTATCTTAAATTTACAGTTTTTCAATCTTCTCTAAAATTTCTCACATTCTAAAAAAATTGGGCACTATTTACCCTTTTCTGCCCCACTCCTGCGAATCTGAGCAGGATTTTTATCGAAATTTTCCCCTGACTGAGCATTTCGCTAGAAAGTTGGGTAGTTCGACCCATAGAACACGAATATCACATTCGTTTGGCGTGAAACGCCTGGCGCCTGCGCCAAAAGGCGCCAGAACAACTATGATCACCAAATTCGCTGAAAACTTGTCATCAGGGGTATTTTGACCCGTAGAACATGAATATCACATTGGTTCGTTGCGGGTGAGCTTGTAGCCTGTGCTAAACAAAATTAGTGTAATGGCGCCAGCAACTGTGGCGCGGGCGGCAATCGTTTTCGTGCCAAACCGATGCGATGTTCGTGTTCTACGGGTTGAAATACCCATAAAGACAGTTTCTAGCCAAATCTCAGTCATAGAAAGAATTTCGATGAAAATACGGCTCAGTTCTTGAAGGATTGGGGCAGTAAAGGGTGAATAGTGCCAAAAATTGTTCCCCGAATGAATTGGAGAACTTCCAAAAAAGTCTTATGACCCCCTTGGGTCATATCTTTTGCCTCCACAGACAAACCTGTTATTCATTTGAGTGCGAAATTATGAAGGGGTTGGTTTTCCTGACCACGATTCGGTCGAGGAACCGTGTCTGTAGTACCAGCGTTTCTAGCCGATCACTCGTATGTGGAGTGTTGGAGATTCCTATGGGTGTAGATTCGTTCAGTACATGTTGGAAGACCAGAAAAGAAGAAAAAGACTTTCGCGGAAGGGAAATTACAAAGCACCGAAGCTTTACTGGACTCCCTTCGAAGAAGTGTGGCTCGAAGCCACCAACCCATTGAACAAATCGACCCCCCCGAAGAATGCTGAATTTCTTCCCTCAAAGAGTGCATATCGGCGACTTTGTTTTGACTCTCTGGCTGCACCGTGAACTATAAGTTCCATGTATGACAAAGATACAGTTCACTCCGCCTTTATAGGAACTATTCTAGTCTTCATTTGAATGTATCCCCAAGCTCGTTGTCACACAACACCCCTTCCCCTGTCCCTTGCCACTCCCCTTTCCGACGTCGTGTTCCGGCTCCCCTTCGGGGCCGCGGGCTTCACCTGCTCTCCCCGGGCCCTTCGATGGTCCTTCCTCTTCGCCCCCTGCCACAGATGGACACCCCGGTCTGGCGAAGCGCGCAAAACCTCAAGTGCCCCGGAGCGGGTAAGCGGCCGCCAGTCCAGCGCCGCAGAGCAAGAGTGCGGCACGCCCTCATTAAGCCTCACCGAGACGCGCCCACCCGCGGCGCCCACCCGCGCACCGCACCGCGTGGCTCCCCCCCCCCGCCGCCAACTCAAGCTGAACCACGCCGCTCAGTTGCACTTGGTGAATTTTTTCACAACCACCCTCAATCAACACGCGTTTCTAATAAGTTCGCTGTTTTCCTCTTTTCCCCCCCACTTTCCGCCGCAATCGGCCTTCAAATCGAATCTCTCGCCGTCCAATTCCCCGCAACATTTTTGTGTGAAACAAAATGGCCCTCTCACATCGGGTTACCGGTACGGCCCTGTCGTTGGACGCAAACGGCGAAACAAATTAGGTTTCGCACATGGGCCCAACTCGGAACAAGCAGGGGCTGCCCACAATACTGGGCTGACATGACTCTTATAGAAAAATGCAAGTTAAACTGATTGAGCCTTTTCAATTTTGCCGAAACTAATCATATACATTATTACGCAGCCGGCAGCTGGCACATTTGGAAAGACGGCAATCTCATAATTGTGGGGGCGGGCCATAGCTCAAAAACGTCAAAGTATCTGTACCTATCTATTCCATTCTGAGTAAGGTTCTATTTTTGGGAGATTTTTGGCGTTTTCTGAGCTGATCAGTCGCTTGTCCGCGTGAAAGCAGAGTTCGTGCTGTAACTCAATTTCAGAAAGAAAGCTACAACGGAAATCTTTTTAGTTCAACTGAAGAACGCTGGCGGCATTCCCTCAAAAACTTCCGCCTGGAGAAGTGATAGGAAATCAAAGGTCTCGAAGGGGCAGGCTATTTCGGCCACGAAATAGCATACAGGAATCAGGTGAATTTGGGAAGAGGGTCTAGGAGCTGTCGTTGCTTATGAGAGATTTGTTTTTGTTCCTTTATCGTGAGCAAGAAGAAGCTCATAACCTTGATTTCCTTCAGCTCAAAAGTGTAGCGCAGAGGAACCGCATGGTTCTATTTTCTCTGTGAACTATGTAGAGCCT